TACATTTAGGATTTTTATTTGATTGGTGACCGGTGGAGCAGCAGAGCGAATGTATTTGTAGTCACTCAGAGGAGAGCATGTTCAAAAATGGCGTTTATTTAAAAAAAAAGAAAAAAAAAAAGAAAGAAGGAAAACCACCCTGTTGACTTCTGCTTCATTAACATAAGAGTTGTAGATAGAAAATGGCAACGCATCCGTTCAAATAAATAAATACAGCATCCTCCCAAATCTGTGAGAAAAAGAAAAAAATGTGTCTTCAGAACAGAAAGTCAGAGAGAAACTGCGTCCCACCAGGGAGATGATTCAGAACACGGAACAGAAAGTCAGAGAACATTTGACAAATTTAAATTCATACAGATGTTCACACCTCAGGAAACAATATGGAGTCCCCCTGCTCACAGACAGGCTCCCCGACCACCAGAGGGTAAATCTACTGTTAAGAGCTTTTTCTTTTAGATTCAAAAGTGGTGTCACATAAATAAAAAAAACATGCACAAATCATGTCAGTAGTTTTCAACATTTAAATACTGTTTGTTTTCAACAGAAACCAAAAAGCCGCCATTTCAATACAATCAATGCCTTCGCTGAGGTTATGATCTCTGGAAGAATCAGGTGCCACACAGGAAATATTCCAACACAGCGTGGACGGTTAACGTTGGTTCATCGTGCTGAGAAACAGTCGTCAGGTCAAAGTTGGAGTCGTGGGTTCCCTCTGCAGATTTCTCTCCTTGACAATAGTTTTTATTTTGTGTTTTTTTCACGTACTGAAAAGTTAAAGTTGACCACGGCAGAATGTCAAAACTGGTAAAAGTTCACTTTAAAGGAACTTTGAAGGATTCTCATGTTTGTGCCGCTCGAGCTGGGAGGTTATCATCAATACTTTTTTTGGTGAGTTATAATGAAACTTACTTTTTAGTTTCATTTCCTTGACTTCTTGGCTCCACTAAGTTAAATTCACTTATCAACTGCAACATGAAAAACAGTTTCCTGTCTTAACGTCTTGGCTCGTTGGTATTTGTACTTCAGTAACTTCCAAATAAACAATGGTTTACTGTAAAACCATACATTTCTGGCAGAGTTTTTAACTTTACGCTCCTTGTTTAATCACCTCCTGGCTCCCACATGCGCTGACTTCTACTTCTCAGCATCAAAGTGAATGAACATCCTGTATTTTACCTTATTTTCAACTAAACCCTAAAAGCAAGTTTTGTAAAATGAATGAGTGTTTGTAAAAATCATGAAAAGAGGGTTTAAAATTTGAAATTTTACAGTAACTGTGGGACAGACAGTGAAAACTGTGAGCGTCTTCAACACAATACAAAACTTCCATTGGAAATCTGCTGTGTATGGAAACCCAACTACAAAAATATAATATAGAGCTGCAACGATTTATCACTTTGATAAGCAACTGTTTTGGTGATCAGTTCATCCTTTGACATTTTTTCTAGCAACACTGTCGTTAAAAATTGATTTCTCCAATTTCTAAAATGTGAGAATTTGCTGCTTTTCTTTGTCTAAAATGAAAATCAATTAAATATTTTAGGGGTTGAACAAAACAAGAACCTTGATGACGTCCCCTTGTGCTCCGTGGTTTTTTTTTTTTTGTAGATGTTTTATGGACCAATTTATAAATCAACTGATCGAAGATATAACCTGCGAATGAATTAGTTGCAGCCCAAAGTGACAAAAACTTCTTGAAAAGGACAAAATAAAATCTAAACATTTGTTTAAAAGATCTTCCAGAGAACACATTTTCAAACAACATCCACAGAAATAAAAATCTAACTTGTTCGACACTCGACTCAACAGTGCTTCGACGAGGCAGCAGATGCATTAATCCGCGTTTAGCCGACGCTAATTCAGTTAAACATAATGACAGGAGAGCTGCAACAAACTGATCCCAGAACAGATTTAACAAAACAAAATACACATTTCCTTCACACAGGAAGAGGAAATAAAACAAAAAACTTGAAAATTTAAAGAAATAATGAGACATAACTTGTGTTTTTGATCCGGGTCATGCTGGTGTGAGGAAAAGTGACGGCATGAACTCAGAATCTGGACCTAATGTGTTAAATTAATGAACATAGAGCGTCTGGATTCTTTTACTTTGAAGGAGTCCAAACACGGGAGTCACATTTAAAAGCTTAAGGGCTGTTAGCAGCTGACCGTCTTTATAAGTAGCCCAGGTCTTATACTGTTGCTTGCCTGATGACCTCCAGCTTATCCCGCACTAGCTGGCAGCCACCGCAGGCTTTCCGTGCTCTCTTGACCTGACACCGCGACGCTAACGCAGTCGTTTGAGGAAGCTATCAGATGCGAAACAACACGAATGAATAAGCAGCCTGCATCCTGTTGGCACCTGGGAAATCACAGAGTCAGTTTAATTTGATCTCTGCAGGGGCCGTCAGGCTGTTTGAATATAATCCTCTTCTCTGCGATGAGAGGAAACAAACACCTCTGAGGGCCGCTGCCTTATTTCATGTGACTAGAAACAGAGAGAGCGATCACATTTTTGGGGGGACAGCAGATTTAAGTGACATTTTAAAAGGTCTGAAGGTTGTGTATGGTTGGTGGCAGTGAAGCCCAGTTCTCACAACACACATCTTTCCTCTAGATTTGTTCGCCAAGTTTCACAGCTTAGTGATTTTAGCAGAACATAAACAACAAGCTGAGAATCTATCAGCTGCATTTGTGCCCTTTAGTGTGACGAAAATAAATAAACTCACGTCAAAAGAAAACAGCCGGTAGAGTTTCCAAAGTCTCCATTTAAGCAGCACTAAAACTCCGTAGTAGCGAGGACACCAGCTGTAGTAGTATGGATGTAGTCTCACTCTCAACATAGTGGGGAAAAAAAGAAGCTTATTCACAGCATTTTCAGTGAATTAACTAATTGGGACAAAATAGAAGCCACAGACACTGACCCTGTCCTTTTGGTGAGATTGAATTTTAGTGTCTGTTTTTGATTAGTTTCACAGATAACGCAAGAAGTTGTTTGGCGTTGCTCAAAAACGAAAACTGACGCACAGAAGTCAGAGAGCAAAATTCAAAACGTGGAATGATTAAAAAGTGAGAGTCAGTTTTCCGTCCCACCATAGTTTCAGTTCAACATGATGCAGGCAGTAAAAACAGAAAAGAAAAACAACGTATTGCACTGGTTTGGTGTGAGTCTATTGATGGGTGGTGGTCATCATATAAATAACAACAACAATAACCAAACAGTAATACCATAATAATAATTATAATAATAATGCTAATAAAAACAGTTCAGACTAAGGTCCCCCCCCCGTTCCCTCCCTCTGCTGCTTTACCACTGCTGCCAGCTGAAGTCGTCGTTGGAGCCGAAGACGAGGAAGAAGCCCAGGATTGTCCCGAAGATGACTATGTTACCCGTTAGCACAAGCGCACACGCCCCCCAGGCAATCTGTAAAAACCAACACCAGAGGAAATCATTCATTAACATTATCCAGGTCAAAACCAACTGCAACAGTTAACAGGAGAAAAAGCAGCCGCCAGTGATTAATGGTAGAGAGGAGGTTATGTTTCTGCCGTTGTTTGTTTGTTGTTCTCAAATTCTTCATGAGGTATATCTACTGTATATTTTGGTAAAAGAAAAAAAATGGAAAGAGGGACCACAAAGCTACGACTCCAGTGACTTACAACTTCAGCTCTTGCGAAGACGATGGGCAGGCCGAAGGCTGAAATGACGATGCCCGTCGTGAGGAAGATGGCCAGCTCTTTGCAGGCGTTACTGGCCGAGTCTGTGTCGTCAATCACCCTCCGCGAGATGCAGTAAGGGATCGGAGAGAGGATGTAGAAGAAGAGGAGGAACAAAGGCCAGTATTTGCTGAAGATGGAAAAAAGAGGAAGAAATTAATTCCCACAAGGTATAAACTGACGGATGAAGGAAAAAAATAACACAATGCAGCAGATATGGTTCTTTTGGATGCAAATACACGAGATGAAATTATGGATAAAAGTTAATTTAAAACAGTAAACCTTTTAAGAAAATTAGATTATCTTAAAAAAACATACTCTACTAAGATGCACATTTTTTAAAAACTGAATTAAAATAAGCTGTACTATCGATAATAAATAATGAAAAAGCAAGTACTCCATATGGACCAGCCTGTATTATTAACATGTTCAAATTGGCAGATAATACCAGTGAGGCTCTACTACTAATAATAAACACTTATTGCTTCCTCTCCTACAGTCTGCTGGTCTGAGGCCTCGTATCTTCATCATGACAAAGAGGAAAATGAGATGAGATAACCACCAGAGCCAGATCTTTCCCCCACGCTCGTCACCTCATGTCAGGGACAACAAAAACTTTGTCAGGGCTTCGCTGAAAAGACAAATCAGCTACATCCATCTCTGTTGGAGGTGTGTGGTGGGCTGCAAATACACACAACCTTAGAGAAGTGTCTGAATTTCACTGATCAATCAGATCCCAGGATTACAAACCAAGCAAAGCAGGCAACTGTCAAGAGGCTCCTGAAAGACTCAGCAGGAGTTTAAGGATTGATTTGTGGTAATTAACTGTTCATTTCTTCTCCATCAACATCTTGTTTTCCGTGAAGTTAAGATGCTGTGGGGCAGTGATTCTTAATAACTGAGCTGAGACCTGGAACATTCAGTGTTGTGGCTAAAAGATCAAATCTGACAAAAGCAAATATCCATCATCCGTCTCTCCGCAATGAAAACCTCTCTTCCACTCCCGACAGCTTATTTGCATATAGTGTTTCTCTGCTGCTGCAACAACCGGCAGAAAAAAAGAAAAAAGCTTCTGTGTGTCACAGGATTTGATCAGTTTCACTATGACTTGTATGAATATCCCCCAGATTTCTCAATTTGTGTGTGTGTGTGTGTGATGCTGGTACTTACTCGTACACAGGGAGAGCACATCCAAGCATGAGAAACATGAGACCAATGGCCCCTCCGAAGGACAGACTGATGAGAGCTGCAGGACAGACAGAAGACAGTAACCATCAGGGACAAAGACACACACACACACACACACACCATCTGTCTCTGCATGTGTGGCCCCCAGGACCCCCCAGACACCCCCCTCCCAGCAGCAGCAGGGCCCCTGTGGTCGACCATGTGATGAATCAGCTGATTTCACGTGTTAACAGCAGCATTAGCAGAGGAAACCACGCTGATAACGCTCAGTGTTAGCAACACTGAGTTCTGCTGGTTAACAGCAATTTAATCCACTTGCATCGAGCATCAGCTTCTCAGTCAAGTTAAAGTGTTAGCATCGACTCCTCCACCGCTGCGTTGCTGCACTCTTGTTATTGTTATTCAGTTAAATACGGTTTCTTACGTCAAACGTGAAACAAGCAGCAGCTGGTGTGAGTGTGTGTTATTGTTCATAACGCAGCTAATCAGAAAAAAAAAGAAGCTAGTTCAGCTACGAGCTAATGCTATAACACTGGCCCTGCGGCTAGCTAAAACCGTTAGCTCGCTAAACGTGGGGAACGCACCCGCACGTCCGCGAGTTATTTTAACGCAGCTGCGCGAGCTGAGGCCGAATTCAGAGGCTCCTTCTCGGGTAAATAAATAGAGAAGAATGAAAAGCATCACACCTTTAATCCCGGCCATGACTGCTGGAGGAGAGCTGCAGACTCAGTGACAACACTTCCCCCTCCTGTCCGCCGACAACCGCGCTGCCTTCACCTGCTGACACCCGCGGCGGAATTATCAACACCGCTCACAGACACACGGTGTAACACACACAGAGAGGCGACAGCGGCTTTGTTTGACACGTGTGTGCACACAATACACAGGAAGACACGCAATTAACAACAGACCACGAGAAAAATAGACCTAAGTACTATGTGCAAATGGAGTTTAAATGTGTAAGACATAAACATCGTAATAATACTTTGCAGATATGGTGGAAATGAGACCAGAGGAAGATGCTCTAACAAATAACACACACACATATATATATATATATATATATATATATATATATATATATATATATATATATACACATAAGGTTTGTGAATGTACACTATATTCAGCCCTCTGCGATTTTTATTGTAGGACGTGCAAACCTGAAATTATTAGGAATAGTAGTAAAACTTTATCACACATGAGCATTGACTGACAGTCAATCTAGTCTCCAAACCACATTCCAATTTCTTTGCACTTCCCATTTTCTTTTTATTATTATATTGTAATAATAATTATTAGTGTGTACATCGGAGCTGCGTTTTACGCTTTTTAATTTGGTTGTGAAGGCATCATAAATCTGCAACAATGGAAAATAAAAACTTAATATTTTTAATATGTCGACTTTTTTAATTTAATTTAATTTTAATTAACATTGAAAACACGTCATCAACTATCGTCAAACTTCTATTTGCGTGTTTGAATTTATCTTTAAAATTTATTTTTTTATCTCCACTGAACCGGAAGTGAACCCGGTTTACTTCCGCTCCTCTCAGACCTCACTCGGCCAAGATGGCGAGCGGAGGAGCGACCGTGGCTTCGCTGTGGACCGAAGTGAACCGCTGCGGGCAGAACGGAGACTACGCCCGGGCCCTGAAGGCTCTGACTAAAAGTAAGGAGCCTTTTGTGTTAATGTCCCCGTCGATCGGCCCCGGCGCTGCGGGCAGACGGCGGGCGGACGGTGCTTTTCTCCGGGCAGCGGGCTGCACTGGGCCAGCTGTTAGCATGTGGCTAGGCTAGCATTAGCTTTCTTGCTAGATCTCTCAAACATCGACTTGTGGATGAAACTTCTTCCCCCGACTGGACACTACAGGGTCGTAGCTACATTATAAACTGATTCCCGTGTGTTTTACGTGTTTAGAAGATTAAACACTCTGCCTCGTATCTCTGTCGTCCTTCTCTTACCACTGACGTGTCCCTAGCCTGGATGCTAATTTCTCATGGTTGGCAGCTGATCCGCTTTCAGTCAGCTGTTGTCAAGTCTGGAGGAACCTTTACTCTTTATCGTCCTGTTTTTAATGCACTTAAAGACACACTTTGTTTCCTTCTTTGCATTTGAAAGAAAGAATAGAAACGTGGAAAAGGGGAAATCTTGTCATTGTGCAAGTACAACGAATCAGAACCACATCAGACCAGGTCAATACCCAGAACACTTGTGAAATGAAGATGTTTATTAATAAGTGGACTTCATTAACTGTGAGGAATCATTCCGGTAAAACTGTCAGAGGTCAAAGAGGTTAGGGTTAACCTCCTTTTACCTTTTTAGATTCAATCACATAACTTCTTTTCTAAAGTTGATTTTATTTGCTTTTTCACTGAAAGACATGTTGCAGTTAAATCGCCCTTTTCTGTTTTCATAGATGCAATGAAGGTTTGATAAATCAGAAACACAAGTGGTGCAAGAACTGGAGAAGTGTTGTCTGTTTTCAGAATCTGTGTTTAGGTTATTGTTGTTCTTCCTTATTATCCATCACTGAGTGCTTTGAAATGTGTGTTTTCTCTTCTGTTGCAGTTTTGCACGAAAACAGGGAGGATGTGACGGCCCTTCACTGTAAAATCGTTTGCCTTACTCAGAACGGCAGCTTCAAAGAGGCTCTGAATGTCATGAACACCTATTCAAAAGTGCTCGGCAGGTAAACAACAACAACAACCGCCTATTGACAGACAAACCATTTCTGTTATTTAAATAAGTGCTTAAAGTTACACACTTGTCTCTGTCTGCCTCTAGAATGTAATGTAGGAAACTTATTACAAAACTACATTGACTTTTACATTAATATAGTCACATTGCATACCAAAAGGAAAACTGGAAAAAGGAAAACCTATATTTGAAGTGACTGAAGTGTTTTGAATGTCAGAAGCTATATCATAAAGTCAGTACAAGATGTTTGGGAAAAAAGTTACTTAAACATTGAACCAAGCTTTATGACAATGTTATCAAGACTTGAACGGTATCAGATAGATCGTATGCTTTTGTTTCACCTTGAATTAATCAAAATGATGTGACATGTCTTGTGGTTGTCATTATTTCATCACTTAGATCATTTTTTATTTCCTCTTTTCCATCAGTGAGGTTGTGTTTGAGAAGGCGTACTGCGAGTATCGGCTGAACAGAGTGGAAAGTGCCCTGAAGACCATTGAAAATGCTCCAGAGCAAACTGACAAACTGAAGGAGCTTTACGGTCAAGTGGTGAGAATGTTTGTCCAGTAGCATTGATATAATATTACTGAATGTGCTTGTGTGTGTGTGTGGAAATCACAACATATCTACACTTTCAGGTTTTTACTTCCCAACTTCAAATCTTTTGCTGACTGGATTTGTCTTTCCTCTTCATTTCCTAGTTGTACAGACTGGAGCGCTACAACGATTGCAAGTCCGTCTACACAGATCTGATCAGAAACTCCCAGGATGAGTACGAGGAGGAGAGAAAGACCAACCTGGCTGCTGTTCTGGCTGCAATGAGTCAGTGGGAGAAGGCCCCTCTGGTAAACACCACACTGATAATGCAAAGTTAAAATTTCAGGCTTTTTACTAACACCACCGAATAGTTTCTCTATATGTTTTAGTTTATTAACTGATGCTCTTACAACACTCAATCAACTTTTTTTGATTGCTTCACTTTATAACTTTAACTTAACTGAATTAATGTTGGAGTTGTTTTCCTCCACTGCAGGAAGATCTAGGTCTCCCAGAGTCAACGTATGAGCTGTGTTACAACACTGCCTGTGCTCTGATTGGCCAAGAACAGCTGACCGAGGCTTTTAATAAATTACAACAGGCAGAAGGTCAGTCGCAGCCGTTTGTACCTTTATTATCAAGTCATTTTGTGTCCTGTTAAGATTTCATATTCAATTATTGTTCTTTTTTCTTCTTCAGAGCTTTGCAGAGTCTCGCTGGCTGATGATTCTGTAAGTGGCATGAAATTTGTTTTATTGAAATATTGAAGAATCATTTATCAAGTCTAAACTATTTAACATCCCACATATATCACAGATAGAATGAGATATTTATATTGGGATTTATATTGATATTTTACGGTCATTGAGAAGTGTATGAATTATAAATCAAAATGTGCAAAAAGACTTATATGTTGGATTTGATGAGATTTGGGAAAGTCACAGACATTTCTGAAAGGGATTAGTCCTGTTGTCAATAACAAGGTTTGTCAGAAGAGTGAAATTAGTATCAGGAATAGTTTGGTCTGTGTGAAGGTTTAGATTTGGTAAATCAGTTTGTTGGAATGATCACAAGAGAGATGGATGTCAGACAAACTGACTTTACATCATATTACAAACTGTTTAAGGAGTTTAGTGCTGGTGTTTGTAGCAGATATGAAATAATGTCTCTGCATCATTTCCTTCCCCCGCGTATTGTCCAAAGCTCCGGGTGTTGGAATTCTCCCCAGAATAATCACTGTCATTCCTCGTTTTTTCCCTTGCAGGATGTAACTGAAGAGGACATTGAGTCGGAGTTGGCTGTCATTCACTCTCAGATGGCGTACATCATGCAGTTACAAGGTCGGACAGATGAGGCGCTGCAGCTCTACAACCAGGTCATCAAGCTCAAGTAAGTCCAGGATGTGTAACGTGCGGAATACAGATGAGAAGAGAGAACGTGTGAGTGATTGTTTGATTTATTTCCAGACCATCAGACGTTGGGCTGCTCGCTGTGACTGCCAACAATATCATCACAATAAACAAGGTGGGTGGACTGGGAGCTTGCCAATGTCTGTTTCATGAGATAATTAGCATTGAGACATGACATCAAACCTCATTACTTCATCCTTTACCAGGCTCATCAAACCTGATTCCAACTGGAGCAAAATACATTTTCATTAATGCTCTGTCTTTTCCCTCAGGACCAAAACGTGTTCGACTCAAAGAAAAAGGTGAAACTCACCAACACTGAAGGTGTTGAATACAAGTTGGCGAAGAAGCAGCTGCAGGCCATCGACTTCAACAAAGCTCTGCTGGCCATGTACACGAATCAGGTACTGTGATAGAAACAAAAAACCAGGTGTGACTCAAGGGGAGGACGTCGAGGTGACGACTGATGTTGCTGTTTGTCGTTAACAGGCCGACCAGTGCAGGAAACTGTCCTCCAATCTTCAGTCTCAGAACCCAGGTCACCCACGACCAGTCCTCATCCAGGTTGCTCAGTTGTGCCGGGAGAAGCAGCACAGCAAAGCCATCGAGCTGCTCCAGGTACGAACGAGCGTTTGACTCCCACAATTAAAATGTACATTAACATTGTTTTAACACTTTAAAACACCCGGTCAATTACTTTATGTGCTGTAATGACTTAAAATAATTAACTCTATTTAAGAATTTAAGTTCATTTTACTGTTGCGTCCACTGTCTGTGGCTCTACAAATGTTGAGTACTATTAAATATAAAACTTCATCAGCTCCCAGATTGTAGTTTTCCCGCTCTCTATGGTTTCATTCATCCATAAGAGCCGCAATCAAGTTTTTTTGTGTGTGTTTTTGATCATGTTGAAACTATTGTTCAGCAATTTGTATTTTCACAGAACTTAAATTGTCTCTCTCTGTGTTTTCCAGCAATTCTCTGATCAGCATCCAGAGAGTGCATCTGGCATCAAGCTGACAATGGCGCAACTATATTTAATACAAGGTACTGTGATCTTTGTATTTGGTTGAACTTAGTGGTTTATGCAGTTTTTTTTTAAAGTAAAACGTTTGATAGAAGAATATTAATTCAGTGTTTTGTGATTTATTTTGAGGTTTTTCTGAATTGGTGTCGTTACGCTTTGTTTAAATGATTTGTTTTGGTCCTCAGGTCATGTAACAAAAGCCTGTGATGTCCTGAGGTCCATTGAAGAGTTCAAGCACAAATCAGGGATGGTAAGTCTGATATGAAAAGTTTCAAAATACTGTTTCAGTGCAGCAGCAGAAAATGACATTGTGCATTTAAGTGGTCAGATAGTGTTGATTTCATACTTTTCATTGTGTAAAGTCATTTCTCATCACATTGACTTGAACTGTGCCTCCTCAGGTTTCAGCTCTAGTGACAATGTACTCCCATGAAGAAGACATCGACGGCGCTATTGACGTCTTCAAACAAGCTATTGAGCACTACCAGTCTGAGCAGGTATTGTATTGATGGTGATAAATTCAGTGGAGCTGAAATAGAGAATCATATTTTAAAAACGAAATAAAAACTTTTAGAATAAAACTGTGTGTAAAGACTGAACATTGCACTGTGTAATGTTCATGCTCTTTTTCTTTCTTTCTTTTTTCAGCCCGGATCTGCTTTACACTTGGCTCTCGTACGAGAAGCCGCCAACTTCAAATTGAAGTACGGACGGAAGAAAGAAGCCATTAGTGACCTGGAGCAGTTGTGGAAGTGAGTGACACACATTCATGTGGGGAGTAGGAAATAAGGAAGCACATAATACATGAGGTGCATCTTAGAGGTTTTCTCTCAGCTGCTGATTTATTACGCTTGATATTACTTCATGGTTACAGCTTCATCTTTTACAGCAATGAAAATAACTATTTTTTATTTTTCTGTAAACAGGCAGAACACCAATGACATCCACACGTTGGCACAACTCATCTCAGCGTATTCCCTGGTGGATACGAACAAAGCCAAATCGTATCCTTCTCACCTGCTGAACATTTGCTGATTATTCTAGTAGTTGATCAACAGACAATAATGAACACATGTTTTTTTTCTTGATTAATAGTTTAAAAAGTTTCAAAATATATATATTTTAAATTCTTACATATGAGAATTTCTTGCTTCAGATAAAATAAGGGGTGTGAAGATGCTGTTAAGGGCTCTGGGACATTTTAGAGAAAGAATATTTGGTTCAACAAGTTGATGTCTAGCAGATGAATTGAAGATGAAAGTAGATGTTCTGTAAAGACTCAGAAGAGCAATAATGTTTCCTTAGCATTCCTCTGTAGCCTCAGCAAACATCTACCCTCCGCCGAAACCATGTCTTTCAACGTGGACGTGGACGAGTTGGAAAACTCACACGGAGCCACGTATGTCAGGAAAAAAGCTGCTAAAGTCCCAGGAGAAAATCTTCCCAAAGAACAAGGGTAAGGCCTCCACATCGGTTTATGATTGTCACATCTATTCAATTCTTTTTGGAGAAGCTATCCTCTTCAGAGATGGAAGAACGGCCCAGTGTGGCTGTACATCCCTGTTGTTTTGTTTAACCTACATGTCTGCATTTCCTTCACAGCCAAGGTGAGATCAAGAAGAAGAGGAAGAAAAAGAAAGGTAGGTTGTCGCATTTCAAAAAAACTCCTTTTATTGAGAGCTGTGTTGATGTTCCACAAGATTCCTTTGAGACAACTGGTTTCTCTTAAAGATAATTTATGTGCGTAGTTATCGAAACCAGACACCAGCTGAGCCGAGCTTCAACAATGTCTCTTGATCTTCATTTTAGGCAAATTACCCAAAAACTACGACCCTAAAGCAACCCCTGACCTGGAGAGGTGGCTGCCCATGAAGGAGCGCTCCTACTACAGAGGCAAGAAGAAGGGAAAGAAGAAGGAGCAGATTGGGAAAGGCACACAGGGAGCGACGGCCGGAGCTTCAGCCGAGCTGTGAGTAAACTCCACAGTCGCATGCATGTGCACGTCACCTGCGAGAAGAGCTGTCTGGGTGCAATTTCCTGTAATTGAAACCTTATAATCAACTCTTCTAACGGAGGGAAAGCAGCAGAAATGGTCTTTTTTATTTCTCTGCCAATGAATCCTCAGCGGAGATCTCCAGCTGCTGTGCAGGAGGAGCGGCACATGTTGTCTTGGCCAAAATAAAAGATGACTCTCAGTCTGATGAAAAATCCATCTGTTAGAACTAATGTGAACTGTTTTAACACGAGATGTTAAAGTATCAGCTTTCAGTACGGCCGTCCTTTATGAGATTTAATCACACACAGGAATTGTTAAATTGTGTTTTTGCAGAAGACATAAATCACAACATCTCCATATGGATTCAGAGTTGATAAATCTGTTAAACGTTAAAGTAGAATTTCAATAAAACTTTTCAGGCTGATTAAATCTAACACATTATAAAAAGACATGTTTAGAATAACTCTTTCTTTTTCTATAGTAACACTGCAGTACGCTGCTTTGAGAATAATCTGTGACACGATTTGTTTTCTCTCTCTGTTCCAGGGATGCCAGTAAGACAGCCACCAGCCCCCCTACCTCCCCCCGACCAGGGTCTGCGTCCGGCTCATCTTCAGCCCCCGGCAGCAACGTGGTCCCGCCGCGGCAGCAGAAACCTGCGGCCTCGGGGGCCACTCGCAAGAAGGCACCACAGAAGAAGAAGAAGGGAGGGAAAGGAGGCTGGTAGACAGGTGGAAGCAACATGTGATGAAGAGAGAGCCACGGGATACATTGACGTTTGTGTGGCCGACAAATCACCAAGAGATCATAAACTCTCTTTTTTTTTATCGTTTCAATTTAGTTTTGTTGTTGCCGTTCATTTAAATGTCTCAAACCAAAACTTCCCCTTTGCGCCTGAACGTTTAAAGGACAGTTCCTCTAAAATTAACTTTCAGTTGCTCTTCAAAAGCTGAGGTTTCCTCCAGTGAGATTTTTTGATTCCTCTCAAGTTCATGACCTTTGAGGTGAGACGAGAATTATTAAATGAAAACTTTATTACAGTCACTGAAACTTCTTTTTAAATGTCCACTGTCATGAAAGAGGCTTTATGTTTGGAGACCTAATGCAAGTTTTGATTTGGTTGGTGGATCTGAATCCTACAATACCCATGAGCCTCAGCTTCACATCTCGATGGAGGAGCCATTCAGAGATGCGGAGAGCACCAACATTTCTAAATTAATCCAAAATGAGCCTGAATCTGAAGGTAAATCTGTTTTATTGCAGACAGAATGAAACGACCCAGTATTCCTGCTCGAGAAGAAACTTAAACATGTCGTTCCTCCAGATCCAAACCTCGCTGCTGCTTCTGTGCTGGTCAGCTTCCTCAAGTCGCTGCATCGAGTTTTCCTCTTTCTCTGGAAAAGTCTGAAATGAAGCCGGCTCCTCCGGCTGAGCTTGAATATTTTTATATCGAATCATGCACCTTTCTCCCCTTTAACATGTTTCACAGACGCATCTTGCATAAGTGAGGATGTTGTATGCAATCAGGCAGATTGTTGAACGTGAACATTTTCATCCAATAATTAAAATAAAAATCTTCAAGGACCTTTTGGACTTTTTAGGAAACTAGCAGCTTTCACTCTGTAACTTGAAGTTCAGCTTCGGAAGAATTGTCTTTTAATATTTTGTGGTCAGACGTCACACTCTGCATCTTCACTTAAATTGTCCCTTTACTTTCAGTGAGCCGACCTGAGCATTGGATGAAATGTTAAAGAATATTTATTTTTGAATCCCTGTGTTGGTCGAAATTCAAGCCAGAGAGAATTTTAACTCTTGAGTTTAATTCTGTCACATGCATGTTTTAGGAAATGAGGAAAGAGACTTTTTTGGCCAAACAGGTTTCCAGTTTTGTTAAGTCTTAATAAAACTATTGACAACAGCAACACAAAGACCTCTGTGTTACTCGTGACAGTGTTTGTGTTTTCTCAAAGTTGATTTGGACGTTGGCAGGAGAGAAGATTTCAATGTTGATGTTTCCAACACTTCACAGACTCTTCATCGAGGATCTGTAGAGAGATGGACTAGTTTGATCAGGTTTGTATTTTTTGTGTTTTTCTGTGAATCTATCTTTTATCATATCAATGTTTTTTTCAAACTAAGCTTTTGGATTCAGTCGTCAGAATAAAATTAAGGGATATTGAATGAGTAATAATTCAGAATTTGAATTTATAATGATGAATAATAATGAACTGTACCTATAATCTACTTATTTAGAATAAAACAGGATAATATTAAGTTTATGACCTGCTCTTATCAGCTGGTGTTATTGTGTGCATCGCATGGACATATTGAAGTCTTCATGACCTTTCTTAAACCAAATCTGCTTTAATTGGTTCATTAATTAATTTAATTTAACATCTGCCCAAAAATATTGTGTAAACAAATGTAGAAATATATAAAAAAATATATGAATAATTATATGTATACATTTATTATTATATACTGTATTGTATTATTGAGAAATACATTTATAATTAAATGTAGAAATTCATGAATAAATGAACCTCCAAATGAAAACATGTAGAAATACAGGAACTGTATGTTTCATTTCCGAATCGTATTAATTACTGGATTTATTTATTCATTTAAACTTCTTAGATCTCTTTCATCCTTAATAGCGGAGCCCGTCAGTGACACGTCGACAAACAAAGGTTTAAATTAGCTTTCTCACCTGATTGGATAATTGATCTGATTATCCCCGCCCACTCGTACACCCAGCTGTTCGGTGATTGGCTGAAATCGAGCCTCACCTGCCTGGACTCTGCTCAGCTCCTGGTTTTGAGCTGAGCTCCTCAGATCTGCAGCGGTTGCATCGTGAGCCGTTGTGGACACGATGCCTCGTCTTCCGCCCATTTACACAGATTTCTTCTTCCACCCTCTGACGGAGGACGTGGAGCAGCTGCTCGCTCGGTTCCAGCAGGCCGACTCTGTGAGGTACGAGGTGTTTTCAGCCATCTGGAGGAACATGGGCCTCTCCGACGTCTTCTTAGGCATCACAAGTACGGGTGAGAAGAAGAGATTCAGCAGGGTGACGCTCGCCACGGCCATGAAGTACTTCCTGTCTCCGTACAGCTACCAAATCAGAGTGGGGGGCCTGTACTTGATGTTTGGTTTCTACCACACGCAGCCTGCAGTTCCACCTGCGAAGGTCAGAATCGCTCTGAAGGACTGGGACCAGGTTCAGAAGTTCCTGAAGGATTCTGTGGAAGCTGGGCACCATGATGTGCTTTACATCTACAAGAAGCTGGTGTCCATCAAAGCCATTCACTACACCGCCATGCCTCATTTCCTCAGCTTCCAAAAGCAGAGGAAGCCAAAGAAGGAGCCGGTGTGTGCCCAGTTTCTGGGGAGGACCACCGCCGTGCAGGAGCTCGTCTCCGCAGACTTCCTGGAGGAGATGAACAACGTCCAGGCCCAGTATGAGAAGCTGAAGGAGGCCACGGTGAAGGTCAGCAGCCAGGTCACCATGACCCAGCAAGACTTTGTCTCCCGCCTGAAAGACTGCATGTACGAGTTCCTCACATGGCAGCAGAAGACGTTCTCGCAAAACGGCAAAGACAAGAACTCTGGGGATGATGATGATGAGGAGGAGGAGGACGAGGACAAGAAGCAAAGTGAGGAGGAGTCCAGCAGCAGGGCCAGGCTCCTGTCCTCCATCAAGAACAAGAGCTACAGCGGCGTCCAAGAGGCGCCCAAGTCCCGGAGGCACCGCCAGGCCGAGGTGGTGGACTCCTCCGGCACGGGAGCGGAGCACGCTCAGGAGACTGTGGCTGTCCACAAGAAGAGGCCTCCGTCACTGCGGGCCCGGACCAGGCAGAACCTCAGGGTGGTGCCCGAGAAGAACAAGCTCAACGCCTGGCTCCTGACTGCTCCTGAGAAGACGACGACGACGACGGGGGACTGGTGAGGGGGGGGGGACAACCAGGAAGCACCGTGATGTGAGGGAAGGGAGGACGACAGGTTTCGTATTCTGTCCTCACAGGTTCTGTCCAGCTCGGTTCTTTAAAAAATGACTTTTATTTTCTAAAGAGTTGGATTTAAGTTGATTTTCTCATTCTGTGTGTTGAGTTATTGTATGAACAATATTATTTTGAGATCCTGTCAATCCCAAATAAATTATCTGATCTGCTGAAGCATGTTTTCTCACTTTCTCTGTAAAGGGGGGGTAGCGCCCCCTGGTGGCCCAGACTGTGGTAGTGCATCAACAAAGAGCAGCAAACAGGCCGGAAATGAGTTCCTGCAGCTTCCTGTTTGTTAATCCACTTGTTGATGAGCTGAGCAGCAGCAGGAGGCGAATTTAAAACTTTACAGACAGCGATGTCCGTCTGACCCTGAGCAGCGAAGCCGGGAGCCGAGCACCATGGTCGGGTGGAAAGAAGCCGGAGTCCTCGGTGCCTCCGCGGCTGTGGCGGGGGGCGTCGCGTATCTTATCTGGAACTACGCGTCCTTCTCCGGGCAGAAGACGCCCGAAGCCCGGGCCGGAGGAGGAGGAGGAGGAGGAGGACAGGAGGGAGAAGAAAGGAAGGAGGAGGATGGAGAGAGACGGAGGAGAAAGGAGGAAGAGGAGAAGATAACAGAACAAACAGCTGTGGTCTCTGCTGCTGCTCCGCCTGTTGCTGCGGCCAAACCTCCAGACTCACCCGAGGTAAGAGGCCACTTCACCGGACTCGAGCTGCTGAGACTCGCGGGTGGATGATGGAGGAGGAGGAGGAGGAGGGTTTGGTTTTCTGAGATATAAGAATAATTAAAGAAATAAAACAATGTTGACTTCTAACAGGGGCGGATTGTGATTCGATGGGGCCCCGGGCACCTTTATTTCCACCACACACGTTTGTGTCTCAACAAATCACGTTACCACACGTGAATTTAACGTTTATTTTAACATTACATCGGTTTTAAACTTTCAGTTTCGTGTTTGCATTGTGTTAAAACACTGAAACACCACCCAGGAATCATCTGATGTGTGTGTGTGTGTCCACAGTGCAGACCCGTGCAGCCCAGAGGGACCCAGGTTCTGGTTCTGGGTCTGGATGGAGCCGGTAAAACCAGTCTGCTGCACTGTTTGGCCACGGGCAACCTGGAGCACGACATGCAGCCGACTCAGGGCTTCAACGCCGTGTCCATCAGCAGAGAGGACCTGCACATCGAGTTCTTGGAGAGTGAGTGTGACGGCACATTTAAACGCCTCGAGTCGCAGGAGATAAAAAAAGCTTGATGGTGAACGTGATGATGTGTTGTGTGTTTAACAGTCGGAGGTAAAGAGGAGCTGCGGCCGTACTGGAAGAAATACATGTCCAAGGCTCTTCTGCTGGTGTTCGTGGTCGACTCCTCCCACCCACAGCTCTTCCCAGTTGCTAGGAAACATTTACACGCGCTGCTGACCTCTGACCCCCGCCTGCCGTTAATGGTGCTGGCCAACAAACAGGTGAGTGTGACAGGAAACACTCCAGATGCTTTTTAGCAAAAAGCCGGTGAGCCTCTCGTCCTAAATGAACTGTGTTCGGTTTATAATCTTCTCACTCAGCTTCACTCTGTTTTTAGGTGAGCTGTTTTTTGATTTAGCTTTTTCCGATCAAAACTTCAAAACCCAAACATATTCAGTTTGATTTTATAAATTTCCTGAACATAATCAGGGTATTTTCATATTAAAATTCTACGATCTACATTCACAGTTTGCTGAATGTGGCTCCACCACACGTCTCCTCATTTCTCCGACATGCTTCCCTCTTGTTTCCAGGATCTCCCGGGCGCCTGCAGCATCACTGACCTCCATGACGCTCTGACGCTGTCTGAGATCGGAGACCGCAGGTTGTTCCTCATCGGCACCCACGTGAAGAGGGGCGAGGCGGAGCTGAGCTCAGGCGTTCAGGACGCCCGGGACCTGATCATCCAGATGGTTTGCGAGGGCAGATAAGACACTCCGGCTACAGTTCGTCTGTGGTCTTCACTAAATCTTGTGTTTTCTTTGCACTTTATTGTTTTCATGACACCAGGTTGGCTGAAAGTCTTTTTATTTATTTGTGAGAAAATTAAAACATCTCGTTTTGGTACGTTAGAATTTTTTATTTCACAGTCACCAAATGACCAGATCTGATTGACACAATTATTATTTTGTTATTTTTCTCCCAGCAGGTGAAGAGTAGATAAAACATTTTCACTCTACAGGACTATTATCGTTTGGTCTTAATTCATCTCTTAAATTAAATCTGTTCACGATGAAACACGAGCAACGTGTGCTGCCTTCAGTGATTTTACTCCCGGCTGCAGATTGACTCTAAAGTTTGCAGCTCTATCACCAGCGGTTAGTTCGTGTCACGGTTTTTATTTCTTTTGAGTGAATGAAAACAAAAACAGAAAAGCACAGCTTTAACAAATGGTTATTTTTTTCTAATCTCATAATGTACAGAATATTGAATACCTCATCAAAGACCCCTCCAGACCTGAAGTTAACATCTGTCCTGATTGGACCGATCACAAGTCTGATGTGTCGTCCTGAGATCCGATCACTCGTGGTCACAGGAGACACATTCAGGACCGGCTTTAACGGCAGGTATGAACACATACTTGATGCAGTCCACTTGTGATCGTGTCTCTCAGGACAGATCTTAATACCTGGTCTGAACGGGACCTAGAAGACAAAAAGCCGAACTGGGAAAAACATATCAGGCTCCGACACCTGCTGATTATTACATGAATCTAGTATTTGGTCAAAATCGAATCTGTGCCGTCACCAAAATTTCAAAGCACAAAACTGAAGCAAACTGCAGTGACATGAATTCTGGATGTTCACATTTAATTTTTTCTAACTCCACTTCTCCACCGGAGCTGCAGACACAATAAATATTCATTTTTTATAATATTATGAATATTTAAAAGCATAATTCCAACAGGAAACCACAGAAGCAGGTAGGATTGAAAACAGTTTATTGAAGCAGCATGATATCGCTGGAGCGTTAGTTTAGTTTTGGTTCACAGCTTTAAAAGAACCTTGACTTTTACAACGAATTTTGTCTTAATCTTAAAAAAGGGAGTTTACTGTTTTTGACATGAGAAAATAAACCACAGGTGTTTTGCTTCATGTTTTGGGGGGGGGTGGGTTTTATGTGTTGTTGCTGCTCAGAGAGAAGTTACCACTCAGCTTTGTGCTCGTTATCTTCGTCTTGTTGCTCTTTTATTTGGTGAAATCTGACAGAGCCTTCATGTGTACCACTGTCTGAGGAATGTAAAACGTTTTTAACAGCATATCCAAAGTTTTTCAAAAACCAAACCATGTCCAGTTAACAGTTCAAAGTTCATAGTATTGTGTGTGAAACGATTCCTCTCAGTTTGATTTAGTTTTTACGAGGAGAATTTGGAAAGTTACACATTTTCTGATCTGAAGGCTCCAAGATTGTGTTCGTTCAGTTTGAAATAAAATAACAGACGCTACATAAAAGTCTCAGCTTTAATTTGACTTCAACTGTTTAACACTTCCTGCACAATTCTGTTTATATATATATATATATATATATATATATATATATACTCGACTCAAACAAAATGATCATATGTAATATCATGACCTCAAGATCAAAAATTGTGTAACGGTCCAAACACGTTCCCGTGGTCTGGACTGTTTGTACTGTTTTTCACATTTAAATAAAATATTTCGAGTAAAAGAGTTTTCTTTGTTATTTTAATTATTGAGCAGATCACATATTCACATACAGCACAGTCTCTATGAATGTGTGACAGTGACATCCACACTACAACCCATTAATGTGGTTAAAACTATAAACATTATTGCAGTTTATCTGAGAATGTAGATAAATTTTTAAAAACCTTAACGTCCAGTCTCTCCTCACGTTTACATCTGGGATCTGATCAGGACACAAAGATGCTGCAGCTGCCGACCTCATCGTATCACTTTCCTCTTCGTGCGTTGGAACCCTTGAGAAGGACACACGGGTGGTTCAACGTCCTGACTCCAGTTTCAAGGAGCCTCAGGCGCGGCGCTGGTCACAAAAGACTCCGGCTGCCATAGCAACAGCAGGAGACCGGTGTGACACCATCGACAGGCAACAGGTCGCCTGACGCTGCGAGTGGAGATGATGTCTGAAGAACAAGGTAAACAACAGTTCATTGTATAAGATGTGTGTTGTCTCGTGTTCTCAGTCTCGTGTGTTGGTGTTTGCAGGAGTCCGGTCCAGATTCGGTCCGTCCAACAGGTGCTGTAACTTTATTCTTATTTTCTAGATTTGACTGATCATAGTTTATTTATTTGTGTATCATTTCTAGTTTAATCTCTATATATTCCTGTATCACAGAGAAGAGTGACCGAAGTGACATTTAGATATAAGGACAAATCAAGAAAACAAAATATAAAACCTAATACAAAATAATTTAAAACCAAGGCAAGTTAAATAACATGAACAGGTTAAAAGTACTGTTAAAATAAACATGAAAGTAATTAATTAAAGTGCGTTTGAGAGACAGAAAGAAAAAACAAACAGGATTAAATCAATGGCAGTAAAATGATAAATCAGACCAAACTAATAACACGGGTCACTAGGATTAATGAAAGGCTTTCAGAGATTTACATTTTAAGTTGAGATGTTATTGACAATAATAAAAATAAACACAAGGTGCTGCACAAGTTAATTATGAAAGATGGAAGGCAACACATTTGAAGATCACTCAGCGATGGAGCCCAGAAATAGAAGAGATGCAGTGACTCCAACGAGGCACGAGGAGTCACTGAAGAATTAAAACAATGTGCGTCGAATGTTGTGGCCTCTGCAGCCGTTAGATCTCGACCCAACGTGACGTGAGCTCTCTTCCTCTCCATCAGACGAAATCAAAATAAAGTTGTGTTGTTGGGTTTGATCAGTGTTCACGGTGAAGAGGAGCAGGGTCAGGTTCTTGGATGTTGCAGCTCTGCCAGAAAGAAACAAGGAAACCCGCAGAGTGATTGCATGTTCCCCCCCTGAGCCCAAAGTGCCTGAATATACACTTGTGTTTGACGCTGGTTTGTGTTCTCCAGGATTCTGGAGCTGGCGCGGCACAAAACCTCAAAAACAATCTGGGCCACGACTCCTTGGTGAGGAGCTTGAGTCATGCAAACGTCTGGAATTCTTTCCTGCACATGTAAAAACAAACAGCACAGGAAGGATCACAATGGCCTCTGTTCCGCTCACGTTTGGTTTTGCAAGTTTTGCGGCCTCTGCTGCAGCTGCTGCCTCACGTGAGAGCGAATGTTTGTTTGTGGATCTGGTGTGAAACCGAGTCTCAGTGAAGTTTCTCTAAATCCAACGAGATTAAACTCAGATGTTTGGCGGAAAAAGAAAGAACAGAGGTCACGTTTGATTGAGAGCGTTATCGTCTCATTTGCCCACTCGAAGAAAGTTTATTTCACTTCTGCATTGGGAGATTTCTTCTTCTTCAACTAATCATCATTTTCTGTATTGATCAGTGAGAAGCTGAGCTGGGGGAACCAGGAGCCGGTGTGGCCCGTCTCCGCTCCGGCGCTCGGAGCCTTTCCAAGTGCAAGAATCCAATACCTGTCCAAGCACAAAAGAGACTCCTCAGCAAGGGACGGCCCCGGGAGGTAACTGGAGCCGTTCTGCACCACGAACATTATTGATGACTCTATCAAAAACGCATGAGAGGGCGGTGTGTTTGTGTACACAAGCTTTTTACTGATGTGCTGCATTGACGTATTAGTGGAAATGTTTGAAAGCCAAAGAGAGCAACAACCCTGAAGTGGCTCTGATGCTCTTCAGCTCAGCGTCGATGCAGGAAACTGTAAAGTGATGTTCAGGAGCGATGCCAGTCTCATCCGGATCCGACGCTCATCACCCCCGAGAGCTGTCAGCCTCAATCAGCCGAGGAGGAGGAGGAGGAGGGGGGGGATGTGCTGGTGGAGGTAGTTACGGCCCCCGAGGCTTTTATTTTGATACTGCCTAAGTGTTTCCTGACTCAGCTGTCAGATTAAAAGCTGGGCAGCGTGCAGTGTAACTCAATCAGAAGCCCACACAGGAAGTGCAGCTCCCGTGATAATAACCGGGATGATAACTGAGTTGAATTGATGACGACAGTGATCACCTGCTGGGTCGACGTGTGAGGGAGGAAGAACCTGGCTCTGCTCGATGTAAACAAACCAACACGACCTTTTGTTCTGTCTGTTAATTACACGACTGTCCCACATCCAGTCACTTCAGAGCATCTGGTCATTTCTAATCACATTATTTGGCGGCTGATCACAGTCTGCTTCCTGCTCCATTATATATTTAT